ATGTTTACAATTCTCTGAAGAGCTGTGCCGTTTTACCCTCACTGAGCATGCTTGTTCCTCGGTAAGTTTGTTTTATGTAAGCTATCAATCCCAGAACAAGATTTGGCTTTTGCTACACGAGCCTCCTGAAACTAATAGCCATAGGCTCTGAGACACTTTGCTTTATTTCTGTCTATTTCTTTCCAAGGCTACACATCTAACAGCCAGCAACTTGGTCACATTGATGAACTGCACACTGGAAAGCAACAGGACATACCCGACAGAGGTCTGGAAGCTTTTATTCCAAAAAGCTTCTCCTGAACTAGACAAGGCTCTTGAGACATTCGCAACCATGGTAAATGCCACATCATCACAAAATTGGTGTTTTCCCGTGCCAATTCTGTCAAACCAAAATTATTTTCCTAATTCCAGGCACCAGGCAACAGCAAGCCATCCTTGTCACATGCACTTGAGGCTCTCGGAGAGGTGAGAATTGCCAACTTCAGCCAGACACAACTGCAGAGTGATGACTTTGTCAGCAGCTGGTTCCAGACAAATATTCGTCCGTTTTTGGCCTCCACAACCCCCAACTTCCTGTTCTGCCTCAGCTCCAAGAACTTCAGCTGCGAGACCTACCAGACTGTGTAAGAGAACATGTGATACATTGCTCTACTGTGAACATTGATGGCAGATGAACCTGCCTATTTCTAGTCGGTTAGATGTTTACAGCCTTCTCTCAATATTTAGCATCAAGGCATTCAGCAGTCAAAGGGCATCCATGGACAGAGAACAACAGCAAGCTGTCTACACGCATTTCATCCGACCATTCCTTTCAAGAAATGACTCATCAGGTAAACGCAGGCACTCAGGCTCAATTAGGTCAAGTTTTGATGGCATGTGGTTGGTATACCCTGTCAATGTCATTGTTTCTGTCTTCTTCGCAGATCCTGGCTGTGTCTCCTTCAACAGAGGCAGTAAAGAGTGGCTTCAGGGCAACTTTGGCAACTTCTCTGGTTTTGCAAAACTTCGGGATCTGCAACATCTCTAATGCCAACTTCTCCAGCGTAAGTGGCGGATGACGGTTGTAATATTCTTCTTCCAAACCGGAATGTCTAACCTGTGGTTTTGCAATAGATGCTTTATGATTTTCATATTGATTCCCTTCCGTAGGCCGAATTGTTGCCACTGCTCACTCCCACTCAGGTGGCAGAGTTGACACTGAGCTCAGGGGCCTTGAATGACACCGACCACATTGACCGTGTGTTTGAGCGACTCCAGGAGGGCGATGCTCTGGAAAATGTGGAAGAATTCCTGACACAGCTGACAGCTAATGGAAAGGTAGGCCACCTTTGAAATCGGAGTAAGAATGGCAATCCTCTACATTAGTTGTCAAGGACTCTATCATTTCCAATATAGTGTTACATCCTTTGTTGCATCATGTATAGTGTAGTATGTCTTTTAAACCCTCTAATGTTGTCATTTCACAGGGCCCGGATTTCCAACCTGTTGTGAGAGACCGTGTAATGAATCGGACCTTCAGCATTATCAGTCCCAATTTCACACACTTTATGGAATGAAGAGCCTGGGGTTTGTTTGTGTATCCATAAAGATCCTGGTTCCTGTCCTCCCAAGTTCAGTCCAATTGATGATCAACAGGGGTAGGCAAACCGCAAAACATTTCCTGCAAAAAACTTCACAGTCGTGTGAGTTAGCACTTTACAACCAATACGCTTGCACTTGTTGCAGAGAGATCAACATCTAATGTGGTGGTACTACATAATAATGTTTCTTTTGCTATCCCATGCAGTGTGAGTGGGATGGTAGCAATGCTGCCCCTGCAATGTCCAAGGGACAACGAAAAGGGCATTGGAAAAGGGGCCCTTGCAAGGCTTATGCTGGTCAAATCGGCCAGTGTCATCAACAGCCAGGTAGGGCTAACACTGCTGGCACTCAACGTGTACCATGTGTATCGATGAAAAATAAAGCTTGCTAAATGGTACCCATGCTAATGTCTATCTACCTGCCTTAGTTTGCAGACACGGAATTCAGAGTGATGCGGAATGGCTTGAAGCATACTTGGGTGCATTTTCCCAACACGTAACATACTCTGACCTCAAAGCCTTCAACCTCTCTGCGGTAAGTCATACATTAAGCTAGCAATATTCCTTGAAAACAACCACACAGTATTCAGAACATGGAAAATCTGCACGCGGGAGTTGTTCTGGCACGTCACGGTGAAAAGCAAGTGGTATATCCTCTTTGTTTGTATCCTTAGATGGCAGTTGTGGACTCCCTCTCACCAGAGCAGAAGACTGAGCTGATATTGGATACAGACAGTGGAGCTTTGGAGGATGAGGCCTTCCTAAGGGAGGTGTTGACGAGCTTGATAGAGTCGCCTGATGATGAGGAGTTTGAACACTTTTTAATTGCTTTTGCAAAAGCCAACAAGCAGGTGAATGCTTAACTTTGGAATTGTTCTATTTTCATAAAAAGCGTGCTGGCAAGCCGGCCATGTTACAATTGTCCTGAGATGGTTACATTTTTGCAGAACCTGAAAAAAGGCCAGGAATTGAATCAAAAGCTGTTTAACACTTAAGATGTTAAAGGATTTGCAGTTATGGTGGCCTGACTGTTTTCCCCATGCATTAGACTGCAAAGATGAGCCACCAAACTTGCTCTAACCTCTACAATCATTTCAGGAATCTAAATGTTCTCCTGTGCTGAAACATGTATACTTTTATTTCCAGAAAAACATCACCCTCATCAAAAATCCAGGTGTACGAGACACAATCTTGAACCTGACTTTGACGGCCCTTGCGCCTGAATTTGAAGAATTTGAGCCTGAAGACTTTAAGATGTTGTTCCAGGACCATTTGGCTCCTGTCTTGGCGAGCCTCCACCCTGGCAGCTTGGCGGTTATCCCCAATAACATCAGCTGTCACTCCTACAGAGCTATGTAAGAGATGATATTTCTAAAGTCCACAGTTAGACATTATAGGTTTGCATAATGATGATTTCAAACGTTGGCACCAGACAAGTGACAAAGATTGATGTGCTCTTTCTTCAGACTCACTGGTCTTGGGCAAAGTGTGGAATCCCTGCCATTGCACCTTTCGGACAGCCTGAGATCAAGCATAAAGTCACTGAAGGAAAGATTCACACGTACGTTTCAAAACACTCTGCTAACAAACTTTTTTTTAGAAAACCCAATTACCATTACTTGTAACGATAGCTGTATTGATGACATAACTTCATTTACATTTTCTTCCAAACAGGTTGCTCACTTCCAGACTCCTTCATGGTGAGTTCATTAACATGGGGATATAACATGGAAAAGGCTTTGCAATAGTTGATAACAAATTTACAGGACACACGTTTGGCATACAAAAATGATTTATATTAAGGAGCTTCATTGAGCTATTTTTAACTTAAACAAACTTTTGCCACTAAACTAACAATTATGATTTGCTTTTCTCCAGTGCAAGAAGACCCCGGTCAATGGTAAGTCTGTCAATTACCAGACATTAAAACGTTGATGAAAAGATTGCATTGCAAAGGTACAATATCTGATACGCATTTTTGTCTTCTCACAGAGAACCTCATCTGTGCTGCAGTCAATAGGTAAGTGTATAGCAGATTTGTCCGGTGCTAGGTTTGCGGAGTTCTTTTACACAATCTAACTAAGGTTAAATGGTTGTTTTTCCCCTCAGATCACACGTCCAAGAAACACTATCTGTTTACAATTCCTCTGAAGCGCTGTGCCGTTTTACCCTCACTGAGCATGCTTGTTCCTCGGTAAGTTTGTTTTATGTAAGCTATCAATCCCAGAACAAGATTTGGCTTTTGCTACACGAGCCTCCTGAAACTAATAGCCATAGGCTCTGAGACACTTTGCTTTATTTCTGTCTATTTCTTTCCAAGGCTACACATCTAACAGCCAGCAACTTGGTCACATTGATGAACTGCACACTGGAAAGCAACAGGACATACCCGACAGAGGTCTGGAAGCTTTTATTCCAAAAAGCTTCTCCTGAACTAGACAAGGCTCTTGAGACATTCGCAACCATGGTAAATGCCACATCATCACAAAATTGGTGTTTTCCCGTGCCAATTCTGTCAAACCAAAATTATTTTCCTAATTCCAGGCACCAGGCAACAGCAAGCCATCCTTGTCACATGCACTTGAGGCTCTCGGAGAGGTGAGAATTGCCAACTTCAGCCAGACACAACTGCAGAGTGATGACTTTGTCAGCAGCTGGTTCCAGACAAATATTCGTCCGTTTTTGGCCTCCACAACCCCCAACTTCCTGTTCTGCCTCAGCTCCAAGAACTTCAGCTGCGAGACCTACCAGACTGTGTAAGAGAACATGTGATACATTGCTCTACTGTGAACATTGATGGCAGATGAACCTGCCTATTTCTAGTCGGTTAGATGTTTACAGCCTTCTCTCAATATTTAGCATCAAGGCATTCAGCAGTCAAAGGGCATCCATGGACAGAGAACAACAGCAAGCTGTCTACACGCATTTCATCCGACCATTCCTTTCAAGAAATGACTCATCAGGTAAACGCAGGCACTCAGGCTCAATTAGGTCAAGTTTTGATGGCATGTGGTTGGTATACCCTGTCAATGTCATTGTTTCTGTCTTCTTCGCAGATCCTGGCTGTGTCTCCTTCAACAGAGGCAGTAAAGAGTGGCTTCAGGGCAACTTTGGCAACTTCTCTGGTTTTGCAAAACTTCGGGATCTGCAACATCTCAATGCCAACTTCTCCAGCGTAAGTGGCGGATGACGGTTGTAATATTCTTCTTCCAAACCGGAATGTCTAACCTGTGGTTTTGCAATAGATGCTTTATGATTTCATATTGATTCCCTTCCGTAGGCCGAATTGTTGCCACTGCTCACTCCCACTCAGGTGGCAGAGTTGACACTGAGCTCAGGGGCCTTGAATGACACCGACCACATTGACCGTGTGTTTGAGCGACTCCAGGAGGGCGATGCTCTGGAAAATGTGGAAGAATTCCTGACACAGCTGACAGCTAATGGAAAGGTAGGCCACCTTTGAAATCAGAGTAAGAATGGCAATCCTGGGAATGGCAATCCTCTACATTAGTTGTCGAGGACTCTATCATTTCCAATATAGTGTTACATCCTTTGTTGCATCATGTATAGTGTAGTATGTCTTTTAAACCCTCTAATGTTGTCATTTCACAGGGCCCGGATTTCCAACCTGTTGTGAGAGACCGTGTAATGAATCGGACCTTCAGCATTATCAGTCCCAATTTCACACACTTTATGGAAGAAGACTGGTTTGTTTGGTTCCATAAGATCCTGGTTCCTGTCCTCCCAAGTTTCAGTCCAATGATGATCAAGAGTGCAACCGCAAACATTTCCTGCAAAAACTTCCAAGTCGTGTGAGTAGCACTTTACAAACAAATACGCTTGCATTGCAGAGAATTCAACATCTAATGTGGGACTACATAATAATGTTTCTTTTCATCCCATGCAGTGTGAGTGGGATGAGCAATGCTGCCCCTGCAATGTCCAAGGGACAACGAAAAGGCATTGGAAAAGCCTTGCAAGGCTATCTGGTCAAATCGGCCAGTGTCATCAACAAGCCAGGTAGGGCTAACACTGGCTGGCACTCAACTTGTACCATGTGTATCGATGAAAAATAAAGCTTGCTAAATGGTACCCATGCTAATGTCTATCTACCTGCCTTAGTTTGCAGACACGGAATTCAGAGTGATGCGGAATGGCTTGAAGCATACTTGGGTGCATTTTCCCAACACGTAACATACTCTGACCTCAAAGCCTTCAACCTCTCTGCGGTAAGTCATACATTAAGCTAGCAATATTCCTTGAAAACAACCACACAGTATTCAGAACATGGAAAATCTGCACGCGGGAGTTGTTCTGGCACGTCACGGTGAAAAGCAACTGGTATATCCTCTTTGTTTGTATCCTTAGATGGCAGTTGTGGACTCCCTCTCACCAGAGCAGAAGACTGAGCTGATATTGGATACTGACAGTGGAGCTTTGGAGGATGAGGCCTTCCTAAGGGAGGTGTTGACGAGCTTGATAGAGTCGCCTGATGATGAGGAGTTTGAACACTTTTTAATTGCTTTTGCAAAAGCCAACAAGCAGGTGAATGCTTGACTTTGGAATTGTTCTATTTTCATAAAAAGCGTGCTGGCAAGCCGGCCATGTTACAATTGTCCTGAGATGGTTACATTTTTGCAGAACCTGAAAAAAGGCCAGGAATTGAATCAAAAAGCTGTTTTAACACTTAAGATGTTAAAGGATTTGCAGTTATGGTGGCCTGACTGTTTTCCCCATGCATTAGACTGCAAATATGAGCCACCAAACTTGCTCTAACCTCTACAATCATTTCAGGAATCTAAATGTTCTCCTGTGCTGAAACATGTATACTTTTATTTCCAGAAAAACATCACCCTCATCAAAAATCCAGGTGTACGAGACACAATCTTGAACCTGACTTTGACGGCCCTTGCGCCTGAATTTGAAGAATTTGATCCTGAAGACTTTAAGATGTTGTTCCAGGACCATTTGGCTCCTGTCTTGGCGAGCCTCCACCCTGGCAGCTTGGCGGTTATCCCCAATAACATCAGCTGTCACTCCTACAGAGCTATGTAAGAGATGATATTTCTAAAGTCCACAGTTAGACATTATAGGTTTGCATAATGATGATTTCAAACGTTGGCACCAGACAAGTGACAAAGATTGATGTGCTCTTTCTTCAGACTCACTGGTCTTGGGCAAAGTGTGGAATCCCTGCCATTGCACCTTTCGGACAGCCTGAGATCAAGCATAAAGTCACTGAAGGAAAGATTCACACGTACGTTTCAAAACACTTTGCTAACAAACTTTTTTTTTAGAAAACCCAATTACCATTACTTGTAACGATAGCTGTATTGATGACATAACTTCATTTACATTTTCTTCCAAACAGGTTGCTCACTTCCAGACTCCTTCATGGTGAGTTCATTAACATGGGGATATAACATGGAAAAGGCTTTGCAATAGTTGATAACAAATGTACAGGACACACGTTTGGCATATAAAAATGATTTATATTAAGGAGCTTCATTGAGGTATTTTTAACTTAAACAAACTTTTGCCACTAAACTAACAATTATGATTTGCTTTTCTCCAGTGCAAGAAGACCCCGGTCGATGGTAAGTCTGTCAATTACCAGACATTAAAACGTTGATGAAAAGATTGCATTGCAAAGGTACAATATCTGATACGCATTTTTGTCTTCTCACAGAGAACCTCATCTGTGCTGCAGTCAATAGGTAAGTGTATAGCAGATTTGTCCGGTGCTAGGTTTGCAGAGTTCTTTTACACAATCTAACTAAGGTTAAATGGTTGTTTTTCCCCTCAGATCACACGTCCAAGAAACACTATCTGTTTACAATTCCTCTGAAGCGCTGTGCCGTTTCACCCTCACTGAGCATGCTTGTTCCTCGGTAAGTTTGTTTTATGTAAGCTATCAATCCCAGAACAAGATTTGGCTTTTGCTACACGAGCCTCCTGAAACTAATAGCCATAGGCTCTGAGACACTTTGCTTTATTTCTGTCTATTTCTTTCCAAGGCTACACATCTAACAGCCAGCAACTTGGTCACATTGATGAACTGCACACTGGAAAGCAACAGGACATACCCGACAGAGGTCTGGAAGCTTTTATTCCAAAAAGCTTCTCCTGAACTAGACAAGGCTCTTGAGACATTCGCAACCATGGTAAATGCCACATCATCACAAAATTGGTGTTTTCCCGTGCCAATTCTGTCAAACCAAAATTATTTTCCTAATTCCAGGCACCAGGCAACAGCAAGCCATCCTTGTCACATGCACTTGAGGCTCTCGGAGAGGTGAGAATTGCCAACTTCAGCCAGACACAACTGCAGAGTGATGACTTTGTCAGCAGCTGGTTCCAGACAAATATTCGTCCGTTTTTGGCCTCCACAACCCCCAACTTCCTGTTCTGCCTCAGCTCCAAGAACTTCAGCTGCGAGACCTACCAGACTGTGTAAGAGAACATGTGATACATTGCTCTACTGTGAACATTGATGGCAGATGAACCTGACTATTTCTAGTCGGTTAGATGTTTACAGCCTTCTCTCAATATTTAGCATCAAGGCATTCAGCAGTCAAAGGGCATCCATGGACAGAGAACAACAGCAAGCTGTCTACACGCATTTCATCCGACCATTCCTTTCAAGAAATGACTCATCAGGTAAACGCAGGCACTCAGGCTCAATTAGGTCAAGTTTTGATGGCATGTGGTTGGTATACCCTGTCAATGTCATTGTTTCTGTCTTCTTCGCAGATCCTGGCTGTGTCTCCTTCAACAGAGGCAGTAAAGAGTGGCTTCAGGGCAACTTTGGCAACTTCTCTGGTTTTGCAACCCTTCAGGATCTGCAAGCTCTAAATTCCAACATCTCCACAGTAAGTAGCGGACCTTGGTTGTAGAGCTCAACTCCCAAACTAAAACCAGTTGTTGTTCAATAAATGTTAAATCAATGTTAAATTATCAATTGTGTTACCATGACTACTTAAAACTTGACTTCCAGGATGTACAGCGACATGAACCCACTCGTCCCATTTTGTAATCTTCACGAGAGTTTGATTGTAAGACAAGCCTAGACAATCTAAATGTAACAGGCAAAGGGAACTTTTTTTCCGTTATCCAGTAGGTTGCAAAAAAATTTTTAACAACTAAAGCTTCATTCATTATAGATATTAAACACTAAGTACTTGCACAGGTCAGCTGAAAAAATGCCAAGTAGGTTAACACAAACAAGGAATTTGTCTTGGTGTTTTTGGTGCATACATACATAAAAATAAAACGGAGATAAAAAAACAATTTAAGGAAAACCATAATTATTCAAATATAGCAATATTTACATTGAATATATATGAAATATAGGTTTACCCGTTAAAATAAAAAATAAAAATATGTGTGCAGTTACAATGCATAAAGACCTTTAAATTATATTGGGAAACTGGTATGTACATTTCTTACACATTATTTGTGCTATGTCATTGGAAATAGCTTGCTTTTATTCCTTCAAGGCAAAACATATATTATATATAAATATAAGATACTGCAAAAACTAAAAAAGGTCTGAATCTACTGATTAGCTGCCGGTATAACATGGGAAGTCCAGTTTTTAAACGAGCGTATAACTGCATGCCAAGAAACGTTAAAGTTGGTGTTACTTACTGTAATACTGTACTGCTTGTCACTAGGTGGAGGTTGCATATCTTCTTACTGTCAGTCAGCTGGCTCAGCTTGCAGCAACTCCCTCACATCTAAAGACAAAGATGGATGTGACAAATATCATGAAAGTCATCAACCCTGTCAACTTTGGTGCTTTCTTTGACATCGTCTCACCAGCCATTGAGGTAAATATCTGTATAGCTCAGACTTGCTTTTTTGCCTAATAATATTCACATTGTTTAATTTTTCCAGACAAACACATGGCATCAGTATATTGAAAGATGTTCAAATTAAATTCCTTATAATCCACATGAAAGCAAACACTGCAGGAAAATTATGCCTAATATTAACCCGTTTCTGGTGCAATTTTTAAAAGTATATATTTTAAAGTCAAACTGAAACACACTTTCATCATAATACACTGAACTTTAAGTGAACAAATATTTACCTAGCTTAATGCAATGTAACACACCAGGTCTGAAATAAAGACTAATGTCACTAAGGCTATACTATTTTGAAAGGGATTTGAATTAACATTATGAGAGCCAAACATGAAGAAGTTGAAGCTGTTAGCTTAAGGTGCCTATTGTAGCTGGTTGAACAAGGTATCATAAAAAAAGCAAGCTTGTAGTAGCCTAGTTATAGTTGTAGCAGTAACATTAATAAGGCATTACCTGTGAACAACAGCAAACACTACATGTATAGGCTATAAGATGTATTCATATATTATCTTAATTAATAGCCTGTTGAAGATACCAGCAACAACTCGCTAACGCTACTTCTTAAGCTCACTTAGGCTAACACAGCTAAATACTGTGGCATTTCATTTTCAACATCTTAAAATTATTATTATTAATAATTACCTGCAAATGTCGAGGTTGGTTATTGTTGGTGCTGAATGGGGTGGTCCTGTTTCTTCAGTAGCACATAAAGTAACCAGTGAGCCTGCTTAACTCTCAGTCATACAGGGACAATGGAAGACTGGCTATTTTTCTTTGTTTATATTCACCTTATTTGGGCCTGCCCCTATTCCCACTCCCAGTTGAAACACATATGTGTTAGTTCTCCCCGGTTTAGCACTCGTAGCTTTGAGGAACACCGGTTACGGAAAGTACCAAAGTACAACGATCATCACACTCGTTACTTACAACTAGGGATCGACCGATATGGCTTTTTCAAGGCCGATACCGATACCGATTATTAGTAATCAAGGAGACCGATAACCGATATTTGGAACCGACATACATTTGCAGTAAAATAAATAATCTTGGTGCCAAAATGTAGAATAACACAAACTCCAACACAACTCAACACAACTTCTTTGAAATGCATTTAAGCATATATTATGTTTAATGAACTTTTAAACATCTTACAACTGGTTTTCTCTCTGTGCCCTTTTCTTTAGTGCAGTCATCTGCAATGAGTTAGAGAGACAAGAAGTGGGGCTGCAGGCTGACATGCTTAACTAACAATTATGCTTAATTTATTATATCTGTCTATCTAGCATAAAATCCCAATAAGCTGCTAGCAACTGTAAAACACTAGTGCTAGCTAATGTTTTGCAAACTATTAAAAGTGAGGCTATTACAGTAGACCTAACGTTAGTCTATTAGCCTCACTTCTAATATTTTGCTAAACATTTGCTAGATACATGTTGGTTAGCTAATGAGCTTCACATATCAACCTGAAAAACTGCGAGGCTCCACTCCACTCGCAGTGTACACCAGAGTGGTGACTGCAGCCAGAGAAACGGCCGCATCAGAGCCAAAGTTTTATCGGCAATTTGATAAGAAAAGGCCGATACCGATAATCGGTCAAATACGGAATATCGACCCCTATTTACAACCCAGTCTCACAGCATTTCGTGTTATAGTCACGAAATTAATTTAATCTATTGATTCGTGTTCACCAACACGATTTTCGAATTTCTTTCGTGTCACACAGAACGATTTTTAAAGCAATGTATTTCTATTGGTAGTATGTTTCGTGCCTGCACCACGTCTTTTCGTACGGTCGGGTCTTGGAAGGCCGGAAGCTGTGTGGTTTATAAAAACATTTTCTTACTCAATATCCTACCCTAAGCCTAACCCTTTCCCTTTTATTTTTAATTGTATAATGTCAGAGTTTTTTTGCTGTCCGCGAGGAAAATAAATGGGGCAAAGAGCCTCAGAATACTGAAATCCTTTTTTCCTTCTAATTTGTTATTATTTGGCACGAAACATACTATCAATAGAAATACATTGCTTCTAAAATCGTTCTGTGTCAGAATACTGAAATCTGTATTTTTTTAATCTGTTTTTCCTTCTAATTTGTTATTATTATTATTATTATTATTATTATTATTGCTTTTAAAATCGTTCTCTGTGACACGAAAAAAATTGTGAAATCGTGTTGGTGAACATGAATCAATAGATTAATAACACGTAACTATAACACGAAATGCCGTGAGACTGTGTTGTTAATTAAGAACATGTCAACAGTTTAAAATGACTCTATACATTACATCCATATGAAAGTTAAAGGTCCACAGTGTTGAAATCTATAAAAACAAGTTAACTTAAAAGACCAAATTCAATAAACATTGTCTGTAAGTCTGTCAGTGTGCAATTTAGCTAGGGTTTTTTTGCCCATATAGCTATGGGATTAGTTTTGTGTCATAAAGATAAAGCAACACTAGAATCAAGCAAAACTAAGACTTTAAGAGAAGAAAAAACTGAATCAAGCTAAATAAATTTAATTTCAAAAATAAAACTATAAGTTTCAAACAAATAATTTGTGTAATCATGTAAACTATAAATATTTTTTCTTTGTTTTAACAAATCTTTTTGTTTGCAGTTCTCTTTACTTCTTTCTCAATGATCAGACTTTTGCTTTCGCTGCAGCTATTCTCGTTTGCGCTCCTTCATTTTTTGTTTTTCGATTCTGACACAACTGTCCCAGGTGGGCGGGACTTTCAGGCGTGCGTCCCCATTGGCTACTCAGTTTCTTTGAGTGACAGCCCACTACACCACAGATCATACATACTCATGCAGTCCACTCGGCCACGTTTGTGTTGGTGCCTCCTGGGGAGTTTTCATGAAAATATCGGATTGCTGTGCATTATGCTTGTTGTGTAGTTTATACTTTATTCCAACTTTTAATATTTTAATACCTGAACACCTGAACACACTGCTGCTGTAAAATTATTTCCCAATTTGGGATCGATAAAGTGTCTGTCTGTCTATCTATTTATTTTATAGATAAAAATAACACATCTATGTATTTTCAAGCTAAAGGTGATACACAATATAAACTGTATACTGTTATTTTTCAAAGACATGTTACATTTCAAAAGCATATATTGCTATGTTTAGGACAAACAATTAAAGACTGCTTTAATCTAACAAATTCTGCAATATAAAAGTGGCAGATTTCTGCAATATAAAAGTGTTAGCTGTCACCAAATGTGTGGCTCTCAGAATTATTTGTATTTATTCTCCATAGTTTGACTTGCAGAACAGTACTGTGTTTACTTTTTGGCAGTGAATGTATTTCTTAGGCCGCTTTCATACAGCCAGTTGCTCTCACAGCTCCAAAGATAGCAAAGTGGTAGAACTTACCTTCTAGCCATAAATACCAACACAAAAAAAGGCAGTGTGGAAGCACCTTGCAAAGCCAAGGTGGAATCAATTAGATATTGACTCTTGAATGATCAGGTGAATATCATAAAATAACTCATGCCAACGTTTGTGTACACATTTATATTAATACTAATTCATATTTCCCCAGACTCACCCAACCAACTTCACAGTGGAGGTGAAATCTGCCTTCCTCCAGGAAGTATATGACAGAGGGAATCTGTCTTCTCCAGCTATCAGTGACACAGAGTTCCTGCTGTGGCTCAGGCGACTGAGCCCTCTTCTGGTTAACCTCTCTCCCAGCCTGGTGACTTCCTTATTTAACATCGGGAAGAAAAGGGGGTGTAACAGCAGCGAAAATATGTAAGAATTTCTTTAGAGGGTCATGGTCAATGTGATGATATGTATTTTTAAATTGATTCAGACTAATTTTTATCTGAATTTAGAATTACATTGCTGGACACACAACGCTTGACACTCAGCAGCAACACCCAACGAGAGATCTATACAAATATTCTGCAATCCCTTCAAGGTTTGTAAAGTTGATATATTTCAGTCTTTTATTTCTCTGGCAATATGTCTCAGAAACTAATAAAGGTTATTTTGTTTAAAACAGGTCCAGCGCCCCTCGAGTGTTACAGGGGTGGAAGCTTCTACATCTATCTGAGAAACACTTTCCACAGATTTGATTTTCCAGATTTGTCCACGTTCACGTCACTTCTGCCCCCAGCACGAGAGCCAGAGGTAATCAAAACATTACCTTTTTTGTATTCCCATACAGAGGATGAAATTAAGCTACCGCCCTTGTGCTGGCTTTAATACAAATGCCCGTAGATGGGGCGCTGTTCTAGTAGTTATATTAAAATATGTACAAGTTTTCCAACAATAAATATTTGTTTCTTTCTTACAGCTCCTAAGTACCATCAGCACCTCAGAGCTGAATCAGTTCCTCAGTCGACCCAATGTGATAGACAATGAATCTGACATCTGTGTCATATTCAACAACTACAACAACACTGCTGCCTTTCTAGAAACTGTATGTCACTCGACTGATTAGTGCCACTTAACTTACATTATAACTGATAAGACATACCATCTTTACATATTTGTATTTTTAACATCAGATTGGTGATAACAGCATAAAATACATAAACTGTTTAAAATACCATATGTTATACCAGCCTCTCGTTAAATGTGCAAATTCATGTGTATGCAATTAGGAGGATGTTCCAGATGATGTGAAGATGATGACCCTCCCCTGTGTTTGGCCTTTGGCGCTGAGCAGCAACAACCGTGACGAGGTTGATTCCTGGTTTGATGTGCGGTTAACTAAATATTTTAGATTCCTCACCAAGACCCTCATCAGCTCCAACGAAGTGCAGCATGCTTCATGTCTTGCCTTCCAAAAACTGTAAATCTCTTTTTTTTTCTCAGAGCGTTAGAAAACTCAGTGACAACAGGGCTGTCATTGAATTTGTTTTGCTTTCAATAGGGTCTCTGTAATGGGAAATAACTTCACATACAACAACTCTGAGTTTGGGCAGGCTGAGATATACACCACAATCAGCACCTATCTGGGAAATGGTAAGATTCATTTTTGAGTTGTAGATCTAAAGGATTTAATACTGACTTTCCAAGTCTAGTCTAACATTCTTAAGGTGGAGAGCACAACAGAAATTATATGTTTTTCTAGAACAAGCCTTTTTGATTTAGTTTTAGATAATGTAGTTCTTCAGAATATACTTTAGTAAGGTTTGATACTTTTTACTTTAAACGATAAAATAACACTACTAGCTTTTTATAATAAATGACATCCCTGTGCCCCTTTACATTTATTTGAACTACATTTCCATCACAAATGACTTTTGTGGCACATTAACTTTTGTAGCCATTATAGCCCTTAGGCTCTATAGGGATGGCAATGATGGCTGTCGAAAATCTATTTTTTGTATACAAAAAATGATTCCTAAAAAACGCTAAGACAATTCATCTTCCTGCAAAACGTATACAATTACTCCGATCAGCTTCAGCCAAAGCTGACTACTAGCCTACTTTGGGTTATGTGCCAGTTATGAAATGCATATTAACATGCTTACCAAAGATGGTTAACATTACACTGTATCTGCCAAATGTAAGCATGTTAGTATTGTCATTGTGATGGCTCAAATATTTAAAAAGATAAAAATGTCTCAAACCCTAATCCTAAATGTTTCGTGTTTCCCTGTTTCATAGGCTCTGAAGCCAGATGCTACAACGACAATGATGCAGAACTGAATTCTACCGCGTGGTTTGCCAATAACATTGGCAACTTTATGACGTTTGCCACTGTTGATGATATCAGCAACTTCATCTCCCCCAGTCAAGTATGTCCTGATATTTGTTTTAGTAGATTTACTAGTAATGCTTAAACTCAGATAAAGACATTGTTGATATAAGTAAACTAGACAAAGCTTTCACTTTACTTTTCAATCTAGTTTTGTTTCAAAAAGCAAAGGCATTTTGAAGAATAATTTATTAATCTATGTTTTAATATATTTTTCAAGGCTAAAGTTTTCATGGTCGACCAAGCCAACCTGGAGCTCTTTAAAAACGCAGCAATTCCACAAACTGTGATCGACTACTACATCTCGACTCTTTTTGAATTCAACCCCACCTTCAACCCTCTCAAGTCAGTATCCACTTATTTCCCAAGATATGTTTTTTGAATTGTCCCATTGCACCCACCCAGCCGCTAAATGTGGGCAGAATTAAACAGTGGAAAATCAACTTTATATAGGCTTATATATAGTCTATATCGGTTTATATAGTCCATTATACAGCTAAAATGCATTGCATATAATGTATGTACTGAAAAAACTTTGTGGTAAGCATCTAAACAGGCCCTATCAGCGTGTTATCTTCTGCCTAGTAACAAGTGGTTAATAACTTTAAAAAACCACTAGCTACTGTGGGAGGTTAGCAAAAAAGATAATGTTAGCCATGTATACAGAGCATCCAAATCATTTTAGGGATGAATATTTGTCCTTCTGTAAATATTCTTTTTTATTATTCTTATAGGGTTCCAGGTTCTTTCCTATGCTCTCCTGAGGTCCCAAGTTCAGCATATTCTTCTGCTAGTGAAGCTGACACCATCAAAATCTTGAAGGAGCTCGAGAAATCGTGCAATGGAACAGAGTATTCTGAGGTACCAGCTCCAATGATTTCTACAAAAAACAGAGATTGACTTATGCGTTAAACACAAAAATCACTTATCACATTGTTTGTCATTTCACAAACCTTAAAAATGCATAAATGGGGCTTTAGTCAAAATAAAACAGGAAAACAGCAAAAAAAGCAAACAGTGACGCAACCTAGTAAGGCTAAACATAAAATTGCAATTACCAGAATTGAAGATAAGTTTTAAATTGGGGATTTAGGAAAATGAACTTTACAGTTCCCAAAAAATGCTCCGACTGAGCCAGAAACCTGAATATAAACCACTGTGTCTCTCAGCACCTAAGAAGCCTGGTTAGGAATTTGCGGAACAGTTGAACATTACAATATACACCAAAAAAAACAAAGATATTACATTTCTTAACGACATGGCGGGGGTGGAACCTTATCAGCTTCCTGTCCAAAGTTTTAATTGCACAATTACAGTATAAAATATAAGTTCTTGATTGTTGTAGAATTTGCTTTTACCCTGAATTTACACCAAAACTTGGAGAATAAACCAGTAAACAGTAAAATGTCTAATGAGTTTGAGAGTGATTGACTATCAGCACATTTGTCATGTGTTTATTTATACAATTGTCCATTCCAGTATTGTCTTCTATAGTGTACTTCATAATTATACTACTTTCTATGCAGTGTATATTATACTGTGGACAGTACAGTATATTTCTACTACCTTGATAGTACAAATATACTGTGGACAGTACAGTATATTTCTACTACCTTGATAGTACTTTAAAGGGGTCCTATAATGCCAATTTTAAGGTTTCATATTTGTATTGTATGCCTCTACTGTGACATGTTTACATGCTTTAATGTTTAAAAAGCTCTTTATTTCTCTCATACTGCCTATGCTGCAGCACCTCTTTCACCCTCTGTCTGAAACCAGAGCCCAGTCTGCTCTGATTGGTTTGCTGGCCGCCTCTGTTGTGATTGGTCAACCGCTTAGAGATGTCCCGCCCCTTAGCCTCTCACATACTTATGGCGAATTTCCACTACAGCGTGGAGCGCGGTTTAAGCGTGCCGTACCCGGCCCGTTTTTTTATGCGTTTCCACTAGGCGTAGTTCCGGCTAGCGGACTTTTTCACAGTTTTTCTGGATCTCCAAAATCGAGGTTCTTTCCGGGCCAACAACCGGGCTGAGTATGCTAAACTAGTGAGAGAATCGCTGGCAACTACAACAAAATGAACATATTTTACCGTGATTTAATTGTAATACACGTTTCAAAATAATGCCGAGGTAACAACATACTGATACGGATTAGTAAAAACCATGAATTAATGCTATGACAAGTCTTCAAAATGCGTGTTTTCTGAATGGAGATTGGCTAAGCTAACGTTGTATATGCTCCGACCGTCCACACTCACAACAACGGCCTATACAGACATAAATAAACCAGCGACTGTATTCGCCATGACACAGACAGTCTGTGGTTTGTACTTGTTTAACTTTTGTCTAGTTTCTGAACAGATATGAGGAGCTGTGAGCTTGAGTGCTAACAGCTAACGGCTGATGTTGGTTTTGTGTTTCGCATTGAAGATGACGTCACGGCTCCGCCTACACTGCGTTACTATAGATACTACTGCAGTTCCTAAACTGTAATGGAAACGCAGCATAAAGTGAGCCTAGCGTAACAAGGCCTAACGAGGCCTAGCCATACCATACTAAGCCGAGCGAGGTCCTGCAGTGGAAAAGCGCCATTACAGCGCTAGTCAAAAGAAGTGCGAGTGTTACATACTGTAGTGATGTCACTATTTTATGGAAGTAAACAAAGGACTATAATCGAGGCACTTCAGGCGGTGGGGGGAATCTGTGGGAGAGAAACTCCCTCTGGGGGGAACTTTGGGATTTTAGCCTTTGCAGACCATTTACATTCACTTAAACCTATATAACACACGAAAAGCATAATATTGCCCCTTTAATGCTTTTTATACTGTATATCATTTAGCTTTTTATATCTGTAATATTCATAGACTTATATTATACAGATATATTACACTTTACTGCTTCTTTGCACTTTTGGTTAGATGCTCACTGCATTACGTCATCCCATTACTTGTGCCCTTTGCAAAATTGGATCTAATATAGATGTATGTACAGTTAACTTACCTTTGCAAGCTTGCTCACATCTTTAACTCGTTCCCCATCCCACTCTGACATCAAACAGGTATCAGCTGTTCTGGCATCCAACATCGAGACCGTCACACCGGAGACGTTTTCGATCTTGGGCAGTGCAAGTTCGGGCCTGAGCAACACCAAGATCTCTTCACTTTCCCCCACAGTGATGGTTTCCTCTCTGTCCACCCTCGGCACAGTCAGCACCTGGAACCAGGGGCAGGCCAACATATTTATCCAAAAACTTATTTCTTCAGGGTACTTGGTAAGGGCTTTACAATCCACGTTGTTGTAACTTCTCACTGCATATTATCCCAATGATTACACAGTTACATACTACTTAAACAATGACATGACTACAAATATTTATGATGCTGATTGATATGACTGCACATATTCCCTTGATTCTCCTTAGCAACAATCTTTTCTCCACAAGTGGTTTGTTGGGGAAAATTAACAACCCCTGGAATGTCAAAAATCAGAATCCAGTATACAACTAAGCCACGTATTAAGAAAAAGTAGATGCTTCAACACCCAACAGTGTTCTGATTTTCAATGTTGTTAATGAAATGTACTGACTCTGGCAATGATAAATGTATACAGATCAACGATGGATCGCGTCTGGAATCCCTCGGCACGCTCGTTGCTGGAGTTCCTTCAAAAACAATTGAGAATATCCCAGCCACTGTGCTATTCAGCATCTCTCAGAACACTGTCTTTGTTAACAACATGATTGCAGCCCCGACAGTCATCCAACAGATCTTTGTTCAAAAGGTACTTTTGATTCTCTCTCAACATTGCTGACCAAAGATAAAAAACATAATTGTTATACCCTGCCTTATCTACTGTATATTAAAGAGTAGCCTACAAACTACAAAGTTTAGGGCAGTGTCCATTGGCTACTAGTGGTGTGAAGGAAACTAAATATGTTGTCTTACAAACTGAAGGTTTTCTCTAAAAGTTTGGCGTAAGAAAACAGAAGATGAACAATACAGGTGCATGCTGTGCAGTCACATTGTATGCTATAACCATCCATTCTGCCAAACTCTCCCCAGTTCTGCTTTAACTCGGACCACAACACACACAGAGGGATAGTGACTTCATTTTATAATCGAGTAGACATATCTCCCCCAAATATTTATGTAGCAAATAGTTAGGTGTTGCTATATAAACCCATTGAATACCATTTATCCAATTTTCAAGATTTCATTCCTTGTCGACTTGGAGACTACCTATTTACTGGAGGTAACAGGAAATACTGTTTGTAAGACATGTTCCAGAATACCGGGGGATATAAATGTGTTTATATGCAGAAAATAGCATTCAAGAACTTAAACTTGTTTTGTATGTACTCACTCACTTACAGGAGTATTGTGTGATGATTTCTGATTTTGACTCTTATCTGTGATCTGGTAGATCATCTCTCTTGACCAAAGTGCAGCCAGCGTGGTGCAGAATGTCCCCGATGCCATGGCAACTGAGATTCCATCTTCCTCGCTGGTATTCTCTGGGCCTGTGGACATCAGTAAGATCAACAAGAAGACATGGACAGGAGAGCAGGTCAGTATGTAGCTCGACAGACAACATATTTAAACTGAAGCTGCAGATATTCCATACTCTAGAATGTATAAATTAACCAATCAGAATTGAGGACTCAATTAAGCCATGTAATAACATCCGAAAGGTACTAAACAACAACCCGTACACTACCTCTTACTTTATGTTCTGCTACATGTAGGTGGGGGTTAAACATAAACATCAAAGTCTAATCCAGGGTTGGAGTGCCTTGGTAGCTGAAAGTTTAAAGTGTAGTTAAGATTCTGAACCCCACATTTCTGTGTGAATGTTAGTCTCTGAGCAGGTGGCACCTTGTATAGCAGCCTCTGCCTCTGGATGTATGTGAATAGGTGAATGTTGACTTGTATATGTGTAAGCACTTTAGGTGGTCACAAAGACTGGAAATACATGCAGTAGATTATACACTAATGAAATGTCACATGAATACAATCTCCCAGGCTCGATTCCAACTGTGGGAACGTCATTATTATTATTTATTTCATACCCCTATTTAGCTTGTCGTTTTCATTCTGACTCTACTCATTAATCACTCAACTAAAGGCAAAAAATTGCCATATAATACATAGTAACTCTCCTGTTAAGACCCAAGGACCCCCTCGGCGGGTCCTTTTTTCTTTTCACGACACTGTGTCTCAGGGGATCTTAATATTTAAGAACCTATTAATGTGTTATACCAGATTAACGGGAATAATCTCAGCTAACTGACGATACAAACCATTTTTACCAAAACAAAACACAAGTCTCATAAGAAGCATCTAAATGACCCCTGAGCGAAAAATGCTAACGCACTTTGGCACAGAACTCAAGATAAAAGATACCCTTATTACTTATCGTAGCTGCACATACAAGATATTCGATTAAAGCTGAGGTTCCACAGATTATTTAAGTATATAGTATCATCACTGAGTGATCCGAACTCGCGACAGGGGAAGCAAACACAGACATCACAACACGTACCTTTACGGAGCATTTACGGGAGATCGTCTCACCGTAGCTGTCAATCTGATCAAAAGACTTGTTCAATGGCATTAAAACGAGAAAAAAACGCGGCTGAATCGGTTAATCCATAGGTTGATAATGTTTCTTTGGAACTGAAATAATTATTTATAATCCATAATTCCATTTTTATGTAAAAATCAGAGAGTAAAAGTTAGCTGCAAATGGTAGTCACCAGAGTTATCGCAGCTTCCGGTTTTGGCTATGCGTCAGTCTCACACACACACATTACCAAATAAGGAGTATGTGGGAGTTCCCCTCGATTCCATTGGCTCTGACGGTTAGAAAGAGATGTCAATCAGCAAAATCGAGCAAGGGGGGCCAGAGATATGGAAAATCCACCCAAATGACCCCAGAAGTGTTTTTTTGTTGCTAAATCTCTCTAAAAAGGTCAAATTTCACTTGTTTTGCATCAATCTTGATACAGGGTACTTATTATATGTTGTAGTTTGGATTCCTAAAGCTTTAAGTCTACCATCCCATCATTCAAGGGTGGTTTTCACTATAAGTAATTTTTTTTTTTTGGACGGACACAATAATTTACATTTTTTTACTGTGTTCAATCTGAATTTACTTTAAACTAAAAACATCTATATTGATTCTGACACTTCTACATCCAACTCACAGATGTAACCTTGCTTTGAGACCAAATATTATTAATTTAACCCTTTTAGAAGGGAAGATATGGTCATTTGTTCTGGGAATGTCATTTTCGAGCCTGAGACCTGAAAAACAGGCTCAGGGCTTAACAGGTTAATGTTTTTACCCAAGGTTATAAGATATAGGACTCAAAACACTTCAAGCTTTTCTAACACAAAGAATATACACGGACAAAGTCACCATATTGTAGCCTGTTGCTTTAAAGAGATAATTAATCAATTAAGTATTTGTTGACATTGTTCTGTCTGTTCTTCTAGGCGGCCATGTTTTTTGAGTCACTGGGCGAAACAGACTTTGACACCGAGAAGTAAGTGAACAATTTTCACAATAAAAATGTTCTCCCCACGGAATAATTTTCACGGTCTATTTACCTGTGTTATTGTGCTTTTTCAATTTTCCCCTGCAGGCTAAATCCAACTGTTCTGCAAGGCTTCACATGTAACACAGTGCGGAAAATGAAAAAGAAAAGGGTCCGAGGGCTGATCCGTTCCTGTAGGCCAAGGAAAGGCAGGGCAAAGGTGAAGCTGGAGGAAACACAGGTAAATTACTATATCCCTTTATCTGAGTTGATAACTGAAATAGATATGATGTATAACACCAGAGTCTTGCATTTAGGAAAACATTAGTTGTTTGATTGAGTTATAATAAAGTTATGCATTATTTTCTACAGCTGACGTGCATGTATAACCAGCTCAAGGGACACCTCTCTCAGGACTTTGCAGATTATCCATCAGACATGCTCATCTACCTAAAGTTAGTTTTCCTTGAAACATTTTTATTTTAATGAACCCCTTATCGGCTTAATATAGAACACATTTTCTTATTTTTTACATATCTGTTTATTACAGCATCAAAGATGTCCAGGGTGCCAACTGCAGGTCATACTTTACCGCATTGGGTGCTGCAGACTTCACTGTGGCCTCCAGTGTTTTGAACAAAGACTCGAGGCTATTCAGCGAAGCCCAGAACTGCTTGGTGAGTGCCGTTAAAAGGAATGTTTGCTAAGGGTTATAAAGAAAGATGTAATGTGTTATAACTTGTTGTATTCATTGTAAAATATAACTTTTACTGCAAAAAAAACATAAAATTAAGCTTAAATAACCAAATGGAAACCGTAAGTTATAACATGTAGGCCTACCTATGGCTATACAGAGCGGTGCGATGGTGATGTGTTTTTGTAGGCCGTCCCGGAAATTAGCATTGCAAGGGCTTCCCCGACTAAAAGCAATGGGATTTGATTGCAGAATATTGCAGAAAATACGCTTTTTTGGCCAACACACGTTAATCATACTTAACATGTTTTGTTTTTGAAGGGTAAATACAATCGACAGAAATAAAAAGCTAACGTTAGGCTAAAATCAAACTATACCACGGCCGCATGGCTATACCAATTCGGTTCAGAATTGATTTTAAACTCCTTTTATTTGTTTTCAAAGCCCTAAATGGGCTGGCTCCGGCCTATATAGCCGAACTCCTCAATCTCTACACCCCAGCCAGAGATTTAAGGTCGGCTGACCAGCTTTAAATCTACACTAAAGACTCACTTCTTCTCTCTGGCCTTCTAGTCTGAGCGGAGCACGACTCATGACATTTCCCTGTGTGTGATTTTTTATTTGTAATGTTGTATTTGTTGTAAAGTGTTTTTATTGTAAAGTATTTTTATTGTATGTACAGCACTTTGGCTCGACCAAAAATGTGCTATATAAATAAAACTTGATTTGATACGTCACTACCGTTAAGCGGTGGACTGGTATAGAGTGGCAAAGTCACGCCCATCTACTTCCAGTCCATGGGACCTTATTTCGGAAAAATTATGTATTGAAGTCAATGGAGAGAGAAAACGTATCTTTCGATCCCGTTTTAATTGTGCCACGAATTACACATATGATGTTTGTCAATCTTAAAAAATCATTTCCATGTCAAAAAAGTCACAGTTTTTCGTAAAACTGTGGAAATATAAGACTATGAGAAATACGCAACTAGAAAGACTACAAATCCCAGAGTTGCGTAAGTGATGTCATAACTGATGTCACAATTGTTTTCCTCCGCTAAATATAAGAGATAGATAAGATAACTTTAACAAGATGCCTGTGTGCTTAGTACCAGGTTGTTATCATACCAGCAATAGATCTTGCTCGTTCTTTCGCTTCCCGTCTGATGAAAGGACCAGGAGTGGCTGAATCAAGTTAGCTACCTAGCTTGTAGCAAGCACGTTAGTTAGCATTACAGTCTTAGCCTTGTCATTTTTATTAGCCTTAACATGAAGTGACATTAAGTAACCCAAAATGTTTAACAGTAAGAGTAGTAGTCATATTTCGTGAACCCTTTGAAGAGTATTGTCACACCGGTGTGATCATTCTATAATACACCATTTAAGCCCGGGGGAGAAATGCTAACGCTAACGCTATATTAGCATCGGCGATCTGTTCTACATTACATTGCATTTAGCTGACGCTTTTATCCAAAGCGACTTACAATAAGTGCATTCGACCAACAAAATACAAACTTGAAGAAAACAGAATCATATAAGTACATCAGGTTTCATAGAGCAAAAACATTTCAAGTGCTACTCAACTGGCTTTAGGTAAGCCAGTCCTTTATTAGTATATAAGTGCTTTGTTAATAGTTCTATTGCTCGAAGTAGAGTCGAAAGAGATGAGTTTTCAGTCTGCGCCGGAAGGTGTGTAAGCTTTCTGCTGTCCTGATTTCAATGGGGAGCTCATTCCACCATTTTGGAGCCAGGATAGCAAACCCACGTGTTTTTGCTGATGGGAACTTGGGTCCCCCTCGCAGTGAGGGTGCAACGAGCCGTTTGGTTGATGCAGAGCAGAGTGCACGTGATGGGGTGTATACGGTTTAACCATGTCCTGGATGTAGGAAGGGCCAGATCCATTCGCAGCATGGTACGCAAGTACCATTGTCTTGAAGTGGATTCTAGCAGTTACCGGAAGCCAGTGGAGGGAGCACTTCATGCTATCTGCACAAATAGTTGACATTAAACATTAAAAAGATCAGGCAGTTCAGAGAGAATCAAAGGAAGGCAGGCAGGCAGGCAGCAATGCATGACATTCTTCTGGACGTGTTTCATTGTGGTGATAGTGAGGGTAGTCAATCCCTTGTTTAGCAAGACAGTAGTGACGGCCATCTTGGTGACGTCTGTGTTGTTGTGCAAGACCAGAGTTGTAGTTCATTGACCATTTCACACACAAAAATGTGTTACTTCACAGTTTTACGACAACTTTTTTTTTTTTGACTGGCAAAATTATCTTTTAAATTGACAAACATGATATGTGTAATTCGTGGCACAATTCAAACGGGATCGAAAGATAATCTTTCTCTCTCCATTGACTTCAATACATAATTTTTCCGAAATAAGGTCCCATGGAGGTCCACCGGAAGGGGAGGGACTTCACCACCCGTCGGCCTTTACACAACTCTGACGAGGGGGGAGAGAGCACGCTCGTGAACTGTCAACAGGGGGGGGGCGTACGCTCTGTTAGCGCCGTGTTATGCATTCCCACTGCACCTCGCGGGAGCACGCACATCGTAAAGCAAAAACTCGCAGACATTTCAATGATTTGTACGGCAAAGTTTGGTTTGGAAACAATATAATTTCCTTTTTGGCGGGCATGCTTAAAACGGCATAACACCGGAGCCTCGCTGCGGTGAAACTTTGGCTCTGTTCCGAGTTTGTTGACTCCTTTCAGATTTTTCCGTCTTTGTTAAAAAAAATCCGTCATAGACAGAAAATATTCAGTTAACGCGACCTCTGGTCCGCACGCAAAGTACTTAATGTATTCACTTTTTATGGAACATAGAAGCTTTGGACATTCACCGGTGGGGTATTAACTGACGCAGGACAAAATGGGAACAGGAATTGGTAAAAAGACTCATTACTGAACCACTCTATAGATGTTTACACTGTCAATGAAAGCATACTTAAAGTAACGTTACGATTAAATAAGTATTGTTATGTTGAAGACAAAGGCAGACATTTTGAATGTATTGTTATTTGGTTTCTGTAAAGTAATCCATTTCCCATATTAGTGTAGGCCTATATGTTTAACACATTTGCCTGTCAATGCATTGTGGCACAATTTTAATTAAATGCTTTGTTTTTAACTGTCTAGGGTATAAGTGGTGTGAAACTAAACGGAGGCGACGTGGAGGTGTTAGGGAACATGGTGTGCACTCTGGACAGTTCTTACATCGAAAACAGCGATTCTCTCATTTTGGAAAAGCTCAAAGTCTGCAAGGACCTCTCTGCCAGCCAGGTGGCTGCCATGGAGAAACTGCTGCAGTCTGGGAAGACAAAATACGGGTACGATAATATTTTTGCAAACAAACACTTTTTATAAAAAAACAATGTCCAGCCAATTGGATTGCAATTTAAATGATAAGGCTGTTAAAAATATTTACACTTATCAATGTCAACAAATCCCATGAAAAGCCCAAAACCAGAAATGAATCGATCCTACAACCAAAACATTTCTGTGTTTCCAAAACCAGCTATACAATCATATTTTATTCCATCAAGCTCCTAAAACTAATAAAAGCACATAAGTGCCCCACACTATTCACTGGATGACATGATCCATCACTACCTTAAACACAGAGCATAGTGGTATACCAAATGCAGAAATGTGTTCATAAACAAAAATAAATCTAAAATTTGAATAACTTTGTTGACAAACTATTGTTCCCAGGTGTTTTCAGTTATCCCTGTGTTTTAGTTTTAAAACTGAAACTATATATTTGTGATTCATTTCTTTAGGCAAAACTCCACATCTTTAATGTGCACGTCTTCTCAGTGTTGATCGTAAATGTAAATTGTTCATAGAATCATAGCATAGTACAATGAAGCTATGAGTCCCTTAATGCCTGATATATGGACACAGGAAGCAGAGTTCCTTTAGGTCATGGAGCAGTGCTAGCTTTGCCCTCATGTACCAGGATGCATTGTGCACAAGCATAGGTGGTGCCAGGGTGGCGCTAGGGGGTGCGGCAGCTCCCCCTAGGATAGCCATATAGCACCCCCAAGAAATGTATGTATTTTTACATTTTTATGTGTGAAATTCATAATTTAAAAAATGATTGATTCGAAAATAATATGCAACAGTACACGTACTTCTGGGTCCTCCGTGTTTCATTCAAGCTCGGCTCTGTGTGTGGGTGTGTGGCACGAGAGAGAGAGAGAGAGAGAGAGAGAGAAGAGAGAGAGAGAGAGAGAGAGAGAGAGAGAGAGAGAGAGAGAGAGAGAGGAGAGAGAGAGAGAGAGAGAGAGAAGAGAGAGAGAGAGAGAGAGAGAGAGAGAGCATCTGGTGCTAGCTAGCTACGCTAACGGATATAAGGACCTTTTTCAACAACAAGGTGGAGGGAGAACTCTCTCCTGTCAGACTGAGAGGTTGAGATAACGTCAGCTCAGGTGAAGTAAATAACTCTCTCAGTGTTTAGATAGTTAACTTAAGTTAAGTTATAGTGGGTCTCAAACGGTTTGGTCACGATTAATGTAAACAATTATTTCCGAGGCACACGTTTATATGATCACTTGATCAGTATACAAAAATAAGAGAATAAATGAAAAACAGGTATGAAATACTATATGACACAGTCAAACAAGAATACAGTTTAAAAGGGGAGTGATTTGTAAAATATCCATAAAGAAATAGAAAATCGGTTTAGGTTTACTGTTCCGTTTCATATGGGTGTTCAGAGATGTATCTATAGATCTCTTCATTTTGCTCTCAAGGTGCACCAGATTGATGCATTTTTTAAATCTCCCCGGGGGAGCATGCAGGGCCGTCTCTCCCTACAGGTCGATCACGCAGACTGCGTGGGTCCTCACCTTGCGGAGGGGGCCTCACCTTGCTGAGGGAGCCTCACCTTGCTGAGTGAGCCTCAACGGAGCCTCAACTGAGCCGCTTATACGGCGCAATTAGTGTGGCGTGGCACAGTTTCGCCGCTGCGAGGCTCCACTAACACCCCCCCCCCCCCCCCCCCCCCCCCACCGGCGGAGGCGCTCGTGAAACAGAGGGCCTCATCATATAACTTTGCGTGGGCCTCAAGTTGGCCAGGGACGTCCCTGCCTATATGCCGTGAGCTAATTATCGAGCCTTCATTGTAACAGTCGCGGGTACACTGTGTATGTGCGTGTGGGGAGTGTTGCATTCGAAAATTCAACTGAAGTGACCGGTAAATTAATGGGAAGCCCTACATTTTTGAGCACCCTCTATGAAACATCAAGCTACCCCACAGCACCCCCAAAAGGAAATCTCTGGCGCCGCCACTGTGCACCAGCTACGAACGAACACACATATTGGAGCCAAGTTTTGCCTATTCTTATGCAGGTTGTAAAATAAAACAAAGACACTGCGTAGCCCTTACCAGCATGAACCAAGACTACAATATCTGTTTATTATTTTCCCCATTGTCAACCACAGTGCGCATTAAAGCTTCACTTCTTCAATTTTTACCTTTCACAATAAAAGCCCAACTTAAATTCATTCTGCACTTCCTCTTTGCACCGCTGGTACTGCTTTTAACTTCAGTAACCTGAAGATCTTCAGCCCACCTCTGTGCAGTTGCAATAATTGACTACACTTACTAACAATGATTTGACGTCCTCATTACATTTCTTGTTATTTTAAAGATTGTTTTGTATTTCAGTGGGAAGTGCTACACACAGGGTAGTTGAATCAGAACATTTAGCGAGACGGACAAAAACTGTCTGTGTTTTGTTCCTTTTATCAAATTTGTTGGCTTATAACATGCTTAGTATAACATTGTTTTATCCACAACTCATAGCAACCTTTTTTTGGAGGCACTTTTATGTTTATAGATCTTTAATGCTAATTCAGCAAATTGACATCCTACACCACCAAGTAGGTATCAAGACAGAATTTAAAACATTTCTGTTTTCAGGGATGTCACCACCTGGAATGCGAAAACCCTGGTAGACCTCGGAGAGCTACCTCTTTATTTGACAGGAAACTTCTGGGGCAAATTCAAATCTGTAAGTGTTTCGCTTTTTCCTGTTTCTTGTTAAGTCCAATAATATTCATCTCATTTCATAATTTAAAGTACTTTGTAAGAGACACGTGATTAAATAGAACAATTCTTGATTTTTTCTTTTTCTTTTGAAGAAAACAAAGAAAAGGTTCCTTAAGACCTTTATGCCAAAACAGAGGAAGAAGAAAGTGAGGAAGAGTAAACTCAAGAAGCTGTTCAAACACATCAGTGCCCGCAAGACAAAACGAGGAGCAGGTAAAGAAGGAGGAGGTTGATAGCCACAGTGTTAGCATCTGTATTTGTTGTGTGTATTTATTACATAAAGAGACACTGGTGTATCTCACTGTACTATCTTTTCCCCTCTCACTGGTCAATTATTTCAAGGCTGCATTGTGGGCAACATCACCCAGGTGACAGTCAGTGACAATGCCTTCCCATATGGCTACGACCTGATGCAATTCAACCACTGCCTGGACATCCCCGTTCTAAAGGACAGCCTGGACTCTATCTGCCAGAAAGTGGGACGACGATGACTTTCAGAAAGTCATTCTGAGGAAACTCAACGAGGTACATTTTGCATATACAATGTGAAATTGCGAGATTACTTAATGTAAGACGTACACTATTTCTTGAGATATGCATATAGTATATACCATTACACGCTAGTAATGGAGTTAAGAAATAAGAAATAATTGGACAAAAAAAGTGTGTTTCATGTCTTCGAAGATATATTTGTAAAATCACATGGTTATTTTAAGTTTGTTAGAAAGAAAATAGATGGATTGATGGATTAATGGATTAATGGATGGATGGACAGACAGAAAGATAGATAATGTTCTATATCCAACTCATAAGATAGGCTACATTGCTGATTTTCACTAGTGAGCATGATCGATAGACAGCTAACATTCCCGAACTCAATTACACTATGACAGACTGACTGACAATGATTATTGAATTTGGTCTCTAATGGAGCTTTCACACCAACGCGGTTCCAGGTCCGGTTCCGAGCTAGAGCCTGAAAAGCACAGTTTTTTCCTGTTCACACCGCAGCGGAGCCGCCTCTAAGCTCCGGAATCCGGTTAGTTTCAAGCACCAAAAAATGTCGGTCTAGAAGCAAGAACCGCATACCACGTCACGCTTACGTCGGAGGGGGGCGAGATTAACCTGAGCTAACAGTTAAAGGCGAATACGGCAAATAAAAGTTGTAACAAGCAGTAGCGCTGAGCAAAGTGACTAGAACGCAACCACACACTTGTAAAAAAAAAAACACACTTTATAAAGTCAGGCAACACTTTGACCATCCGTTCGCTGTTATTGATCATTGTGGGGAGCAGGCAGACGTTTTGTTTTGTATTATAGCAGCTATCGGATGGAATCAATACATGGGCTGCACAGGTTGTCATGTCCGACTATCACAAGTAGAATCATAATGAAAAATACGCCGGTAAAATGTGCCTGTAGAAAACGGCTTATGCCACAATAGGATAGCAACAACAAGTAGTCAGATAGTCAGTGTAGCTTATGTTGCTATGCTAACATGATCCATTTTATACCAGAGAAACTTCATAACAGTGTTGTGATGCCAAACAGTGTCAATTCATACTGAAACACATTCACTTATATGGGGAATTGGGGATCAGCTGCTTGTGTGACAGTCAGACAGTGAATACTTTACAGCGGCCGCTGCTGTGTGAGCTAACCCGGAGCTAACGGGAGAATAAACTCCGGTGGAAGAGCAGCACTGTCGTTAAATGCCGCTGAAACACATTAATAAACAATCAGGGTTTCCGCGGGGTCTTAAAAAGTCTTACATTGATAATCTGAATTTAAGGCGTTAAAAAAGGTTCTTAAATATGATCAAAACAATAAGAAAGGTCTTAAATATGATTTTAGAAGGTCTTAAAAATGATCAGATTTGAAAGGTACTTATGTGTTGCGATCGCGTCTAAAATGTGTTTTTGGGCCCATTATCAGAGAACACCCACCTAGTAACCTAGCAACCAAGCTTCGGCTAGCGGCAGTCAGAAACTCATGTATCTTCGAATCTACTTACAAATAAATATGGGGAAGTGTAAGTTCAACCGTATTGGTTGGAAAACATCGAATGTTGAAACCAGTGGAGCAGAACGTGTTTGAAGCCCGCTGCACCTTTTGCAAAAGAAATTAGCGTTTGTTTTGCTAATGTAGCGTGTAGCTAGTGCAGCAGCTCCCGCAACAACACCGGGGGACCTCCGGGCGACGTTTGGGTCTACGTGAACCATAAAGCGGAGGTGCTGTAGACGCTAAATACCGTAGTTAAACACCAATCATACAACAGCAACGATGAAAGATTATAGCCAAGGCAGCAGAGCTCTGAATATAGCTCTTGTTACTCTCTCACACACACACACACGCTGCTCGATTATGGCAAAAATCATAATCACGATTATTTTTGGTCAATAATTGATATCACGATTATTAAATACGATTATTCATTGACTTTGAAAACATCCATTTATTGAACTTTAAAACAAATAATAATTTGAACAGTATATTTTTAAACTGTTGATTACCCGAATGTATAATTCAACTGAAAAACCAATACAAACATAAATTAAATAAATGATGCATTTAAATAAATAATATCAAATAATAAATACCAATAAACAAGATCAACAAATATTTTGGAGCGCACTTCCACAAGCTACTAAACATATATATAAATATGATAAATACAAATAAATTAGACTAAAATTAATTAGATCAAATATGTTGTTTGATCGTATTTTAACTGTCACAACCTAGCAAAGCTAAATAATAGTTTTTTTCGATTATGTTGTTTTGTAATTGTGCCAGGCCAAAATTGTAATTGCGATTAAAATACGATTAATTGCACAGCCCTAACACACACACAAACACACACAGAGACACACACACATACACACTTTTTGGCTAACACAGTTCTGTACTGTTATGCTGTTATGTTCAGTCATTGTTCTTATGTTGAACATGAATACATTTACTTTGTATTGGGATGTATTTCTTCTTTCATAGCAATTTTCATACTTCTTGCTGTGAAATAGGTCTTAAATTCTATTCAAAGTGGTCTTAAAAAGGTCTTAACAAGTCTTAAATTTGAGTTGGCGAAACCTGCAGGAACCCTGAACAATGCACCACGGCACTCTGGAGAAGAGTATAAGGTTGGAGAAGTCGTTATTTTATTTTATTTGGCTTCGTATATGATTAAAAACAACATGATCATCGACACGAGGCAGTCCCCCATTGTTGTTGTAGTGAGTAACGCATGGATGTATAATAAGAACTGGATACAGCTTGGGAGGGCGGGGTCTCGTTCTTTCCTATGAGAGCTGCTCATTGGCGCATGAGGACAAAATGGCCCAACTTTTGAGAGAGCGAAACGTCACAGATTACCCGTTATGCCTGGCTGTCAGAGCAGAAGTACCCGTATGTGCGCTCATAGAGCATGCGCAGTTGAGTTGCCCCTTAAGCCCCGCCCCCGAGCTCCCACTCTCAGATGCGAGTTCATAATGCAGAGGAAAATAACTCTCAGAATAACGTTATTAGCACATTTTACAACTTGAGGACCGAATGTTTTTAATAAGGGCTATACAAATGTTCATAGTGGGTAGTTTATTTAGTTTTTAAAAAATTATCCAACGATTTACAGACGTCTCTTTCCCAATGTAAGTAAATGGGAAAAAGTGTTTCCGGGCCCAGCAACCCATATAAAAGTGTAGTACTGCCGTTTGGCCACAACGAATATTTTCCTCAGAGTCCGGCGCACTTCCTGGGGGCTTGGAGTAACGCCGCTGGGGAGAAAATCAGCGACGTAAGCGGTGACGTCATGACGCAGCAGCGGCAGCACCAGTCACTCTGGGCGGTGTGAACAAAACGGGGGCTGAAAAGAAAAAACCGGTTGCGAACCAGAAAAGCTCTAGCACGGAACTAGAACGGGAACCGCGTTGGTGTGAAAGGGGCATAAGTTAACTTGTTTTTATACGAACAGCAGTCGCCATGTCATGTGTAATAGGAAAATATGTTTTTTAACATCAATTCATTTATATAACATTTACCATATTCCACATTGTCAGGCTTACCCATTGGGTGTTCCTGAAGAGCAAGTTCAGTTGCTTGGTTCAGTGTCTCGTGTGGCAACACTGAATGACATCTCCAAGTGGATAATCACCAAAGTTGACACCCTGGCGGCACTCGTGAAAACTGGAGATGGGGTCCTGGGAGGCAGCAAAGGTACAACATAGAGGGATTATCAAATCCACACAACCAATAAAAAACATCATGAATCGTTGAAATATACTCTTGCCTGTATCCTTTTTTTCATGTGTGGTGATTTCTTCAATGTTTAGAGCAAAGCAATCATCACCAAGTATCTGGTAACTCCTGGAAACTCCCTTGGCGCCACTGAGCTGAACAGCATTGACTCCAACCTGTGCTCATTAGACATCAGCTCGCTGGAGAAAATCAAGCCAGACAGCATCAGGTGGGTTGTTGTATGTCGGGTAAGGATACATAGACATTCCACCTTGAGTTTTGAATTTTGGACGGAGCTATTTTTGGTTTTGTTTTTGCCAGAAATTGACATATTTGGGCGAGAGGCTGGAGCTGAGGCAGAATAGGTCCCCCAAAGTTAACAGCTACATACTGTATAGCTAGTTAACTTGGTTAGCAATGTACATCTTACATTATTATTACCTGTTGATTAAGATGCTTGCTTAAGCTTAGGGGGGAGAACATTCTTAAAACCAAATTATTTTACCTGGGAAATTAACAGCCATCTCCTTTGAGTTTCTTATAGTGAAGCCAAACAACATCTGTCTTTGCCAGATAGCAATGTACGCACTAAAGCTTATGCTGCTTTATTGTCCTATTAACTCTAAATCTGATAATTATTTGCAAAATTATCAATGAAGCTATATAGTAGAAGGCTTGAAAATATCAACAACTGAGACTATAAACTCATCAGGATAATGTTTACTTGGTCTTCTTCTTAGAGTACTTCGCATTGGCTTCACTTTTCAGACCGAGAGGTTGTCACTTGGTGATGATGCAGACTTAACATTTTGTTATTTTTTCCCCCAGAAATTCCAAACCTTTGAATTCGGCGTCATGTTCAAGGAAGCAAAAGAAAGTCCTGTATGAGATCAGTAAAATCTCCTTCGTCTCACAGAGTTCCAATCCCACTACTTACTACAACTTAATTAGGTCCTATCTAGGTAAGAGTACATGTTATATGTATTTCTGGCTGTTTCTTTGTCCAGTAAAACTCCTTCTAATTTCCTGTATTTCTTTTCTACCTTGATAGGCGGGGCACCTCTGACAGATGTAGTAGATTTGTCAAAACAGAACATCCACATGGACTTGAACACTTTCCAGAGTCTGGACCCCAACGTGATCGCTGTAAGGGTATTAGAGTTTACAAGAGAGCGGGTTTAGGACATCAATTAAATATTAGGAAATATTGAATATAACACTACTTAACTGAAGCTAACAATGTAATACATTTAGGAGGGTTAATGGTTCAAAGAACCCAAAATGATTCCAGCCAGCAGGGTTAGCTTAGTTAGCTTAGCTTGAATGTACAATCTTTAAGATATCTGTTTTCGTTTTCTTTGCGGCAACAATGGGGATAAGCTTTAATTGGAGTCGCGACAGACACCCAGTTCTTAGTTAAAAAGGATGGACCCAAATGCAGGACATACACGGTTTTACTGAGAAGTACCTTTAATGGGAGATAGAAAATGACGCTTGTAATTCATAGCTTAATCAATTTTTTAGACATTTTTTGGAAAAAATAATCTTAGGTAAGAGGTAACGTGCAATTAACGTGCAATTAAATGTCATTAAAATTACACCAGGCTGCAAGGTGTGATCTGCAATCTCCCCTCCTTTCTGTTTTAACAAAGCATACTGTATGTCCCCACAGAGCACAAAAAAGTTGTGAAATGTTTGATTTTTGCAGCTGTAATTTAAAAACTAAAATGTCTAAATCCATCATAGACTTAAAAAAAATGTATTTACCAAAACTTTCACTTGTAAAAAGTATTAAGCAACTTACTTCTATGGTATTTCAATCGTTGCCTGTGTGTTAATACTTCTGTCCAATTATTGTTTTGTGTGAAATGAGCAGAAATTGACTGCGGGCGGACGTGAAAGCCCTAGTGGGAGCCAATCTACCAGATCTGAAGGTGTTTGAGAATGATACCGCGGTTGAGACCTGGAGAAACTTGTTGACCCAGACAGAGCTGGACACCCTGGGTGTGGGCCTAACCACCAGCAGAGCCACCTCGACCACGGCACCACCAAACCCAGCTTCCGTAAAAAACAACAAAAGGTAAACACACTTTGTGTTTGTTATGACAACACTTAAGCAAGTATTTCCAGTAATACTTGCATTATCATAAAATTGATTTATAGCATGACAAAGTTATACTAGTGGGTGACTTTGAATGATTTACACACTGTCTAACTAGATCAAATCTCATCCACAGGAAAAGCAACAACGGCCAAGACGGTGAAAACCACACCAGGTGAGCATAGCTTCTGTGTGTTTTGAGCAGTGGTGAAAAGTAACTGAGTAGATGTACTCAAGAACTAAGCTTGAGTATAATTATGGAGTACTGGTTGTTGAGTATTTCCATGTCTTGCTACTTTATACTTCTTCTCACACAACATCTCAGAGGAAACATTGTTCTTTTTACTGCGCTACATTCATTTGAGCTTGTCATTGACAATCTTGAAGATTAATATATCCTATGTATTTGTGAGTGATAAAAACAGGATAAGATAATATTCTAAAACACTTTTAAGAGAGCCATTGTGCATAATGAGTACTATTATTTGTGATGCTTTAATACATTTCTCAGATAATATTTCCTACTGTAATGTTACTTAAGCAACAGTTTGAACTCACAATTCATACATATTCTGGAGAAACTCACAAACTGCTGGCCAGCTAACCAATCAGAGCAGACTGGGCTCTGGTTTCAGACAGAGCGTGAAAAGAGGTGCTGCAGCACAGGCAGTATGAGAGAAATAAAGAGGTTTTTGAACATTAAAGCATGGAGACATGTCCCAGTAGAGACACTACATACTGATATGAACCTGAAAATGAGCGTAATAAGTCCTCTTTAATGGCCCCATTTTTAATTCACATCTGTTTTGTATTATGCAACTAAATGGATTTCTAGCAAAGGAAGTAACACCACTGGGTGACTGATTTGACAATGCATTGTCTAACTAGCTCAAATCTCCTCCACAGCTAAACCAATTACAACCACAACCCCGAGAGTGACAACAACAACCGCACAAGGTTAGCATCTATGACTGGTTTCTTATTTACATCATGCCGTTTTTTAAGAGCTTAATCATTGCTTTTTAACAATCTGATCAATGACCAATAGTGTTGAGAATACAATTACGCCTCTGTGACTGATGTCATTACTCCTATAATGTATGTTTGTGGCTTTGATTTCTAGTCAACGCCACAAGTGGGGGAGCACAGCTTGCAAAACACCCAACATCCATGTTCCTGGCTGCTCTGCTGACAGCTGTGCTGCTGCAACTACTACAATAACCATCATAAATAGATGTGAAACTTACTTATCATACTCTTCAATAATCAGTAACTATTTAATACATTTTTCAGTAATGCTCACTTCTTTAGAGTGAGATTTGTTTATAATTATGTTAGTTATTTATCACCCTGGAAAATAAATTGGTAATTCTACTGCTCACTCTTAATGTTTAAAATTGCAGGAATATAACATTCATATAATATGTTCTAAGGTGATGGGTCACTATATACTCAACTTGCTGGAATTTTTTAAAGGTTAGCACTGCTAATAATTGCCTTTATTTTGTATCATTATTAAAGCTTAAGTGAATGAAAAATACATATCATAAATTGCACTTTATTGTCTATTATTGTAACTACTCCTCAAATTAATAAATGCTAACTAACAAATACCTGATGATTGTGTTTGTGTCTCTTGGATATGTATCAGTTTTACACATAACACCATCACTATCCAAACGCATGGCCCTAGCCAGGCTTGGGGAGTAACGGATAACATGTAACCAGATAACGTAATCAGGATACAAAATAAAGTAAATGTATTCTCTTACAGTTACATACATTGTTTTTTGTATTAGTAATAAAATAGTAATGAAGCTTAGCGCAAGTTCAATGAGGAAGACCAATACCCCCTGGTGTTACACGTCACTTCAATCTCCTCTTCCATTAAGTAATCAGGGGCGTTACTCCCCAGCTAGCCAATCATCGCACCTGCTAACCCCTTTAAATCTGCTCTTCCCTCTCTGTCAGTTGTCATTTCAGGTGTCAACGCACAAGTATATGCGTCACTGTTTTCATGGTTAAGGCAAGCAGCAGCAGGGCTTCGTCCCAGCTCCAGGCATATATTCATCAGCTCCGCAGTCTTGCGGATTAAGTAGAGATGGGGTCGTTACTAAAAAAAAGTAATATATTACATATTACTTAAAAAACATAGTAATATATTACACTACATCGTTACTCTCTACATAAAGTAACTCGTTACTGTACTCGTTACTTTACTCGTTACTTTACTCGCAGGGCCGGCCCGCCCCTCCCTACAGGCAGATCACGCAGACTGCGGCGCGCCACAGTTTTGCCTCTGCGAGACTCCACTTGCACCCCCAATTACTATTGCATTAAGGAAGACATAACACAAGTCTTTCTTTTTATATGCTCTAAAATAGGCTACCAGCCTACCACAACAAACTAACAGTCTGGGAAACGTCAAGACACTAATTAATTAAACCAGTTCAAGACGCATTATTCTTATCATTCTTTATGAGCGCAGTAACGGTAAGGTATCTAATTACTTATGTATTTAGTATTCCATAACTTAGTAACAGAGATGGTCAAACTAAAGTGGTAGAGACATTGCAGAATTCCTACAATGAAGCGGGACATTGAACTGTTCACCCGTGAGAGGGCGATCAACAAAAGAAAGCGAGCGGCCCCGTTGAGGAAGTTTACAGATGAAAAGACTCAGCCATGTTTATGCAGCACTGCACGTGGAGATGTGGTCTCGCAAATCGCGCAGATTACATAGGCCTACATGTATATAAACCATAGACTGTAAACCTGCGGCGGAAACCCCTCTTGTCTGTCAGTGAGTGTGATTATTTATAAAAGTAACGAAGTAACGCGTGGCGGGGCAATGTTAGTAAACTGTAGTGTAATTAATAAATTATAAAAGTAACGCACTACACTACTGTTACCGGCAAAAGTAATATTATTACAGTAACGCTGTACAAAGTAACGCGTTACACCCAACTCTGGGATTAAGCTACAGGCCCGCGTTCCCCAGTCGGCTCGCGGTTCCAGCCGGCCGCCCCGCAAACCCGGACGCGGGAGGGAAAAGACAAGGAAATCGGCTCCACGGAAATTCCTCCGGCGTAATGGAAATGGCCTATTTCACACAAACAATTGACGCAGACGCCTTCAGTCTCTCGAGAGGGCATCACTGGCATCAGGGCCGCTCAAATGCGGCGCTTCCGGCTTCACGCGGAACGGGCCCTCATCGCATGCGAAGCATACCCACCTCTGGCTTCAACCACAACCCCTCCTGCAGGCAGGCAGGGCTTAAGCTACATCCCATTGAAGCTACTTCTCCTCCCGGCTCAGTAGTTACTACTGGACATGGCGGCTAGCAGGTCCATTGCACAGCCAGGCTCTCGCCTCTCTTTCCTGCGCCTCACCTCTAAAACAAGCGTCAGGGTAGCGCTGGCAATAGGCAGTTGCAACAAATTCACGAGATGTTCGTTATATCGTTATGACATTAGGGTCATGCAGAGTGAGATCGCTACCCCTTTGAGAGATGGGTGTGGCGCGTGCATGTGTGCGAGGGTATAGTAGAGCGAGTGAGTGAGCGGGATATATATGTTTCTATCCATCTCGCGAAACAGAAGAGCTAAATAAATGCAACGACCTCCCAAGTAGAGCTCGCCTCTCTCCAGTCATTCCGATAATGGGGTTATTGAACCCGAAGCGCGTTGCTTCTTCTGCCCTGGGAGACGACAGAGAGTCATTCCCAGTGGTGTAGTGGGGATTTTTTTACTGGGGGACGCTATTTTAATTAGGTCATCCCAAACAATGCCACACAATTGCGCACGCGCGCAGTGCACTCACAAAACGGGCAGACAAGGTCCACAGAAACTTACCGGTATGCTTAGTCCTACTTTAGTTACTGTACTTCAAAAAGCAGACGGCACACACACACACACACACAGTCACACACACACACACACACACACCTTGCTTTTTGAAGATGATAAATCCGAAATGGATGAAACAGCAGCCCAGTTTCCCAGCTTTGCAGTCTATCCACGGGTAGCCTCCTTGTTTCCTCCGCCACATCTCCTCCGTCCATACCTCTGGGAAAGATGAACTTGAGCTAGCCAGGGGAACGTTGCTAACGTGCACGTTAGCTAGCATTATCCACGTCTTTAGGCGGCTCTTCTGATGATGTAGTACTAGTAGCAGCTTCACTTGTAGCTTCGTGCTGCTAGCCTCTTTCTTCTTGTGAATTATATTCTTTTTAGAAAATAAATCAATTAAAAACGTTTTCCTTCCATTATAGAGCTTTTTCGTTAGCGTTCTTGAGGGAAAGAACTGCCGCAAAATCGGCGGGGCGGTGAGCTGGCCGTGGGTGTGTCCCAGCTCGCCGCAGGGTCACGAGCGTGATGACGAATCATCATTTTTGAAGGAAATCGTTTTTATTTTTTATTATAGGCCATTACTGTGAAATGTATTATGTTTTTGTCATTATTACAACAAATACACACTTGCAACTGATAAGACTGGCAATGATTTTATATTTATTAGACTATTAAAAAAAAGATCATGCTCCAAATAAGTGGGGGTACGGCGTACCCCCGCGTCCAACACCCACTACACCACTGGTCATTCCCCCCTGTTTCCTCGACTACGGTCGGGAGCCGACAGGAAAAGTTCAACAATATGCATTGTGCTACCTTTAGTTCAGGGTTAAGGTGAGTTCCAGGCAGTGTTGGGCGTAACGTGGTTACAGTATGGAGCTTCAGTAACGTATTACTTGCGTACGAAGTAATGTAACGCATTACTAATGCAGTTCGGGTCATTACTACCCGTTACAATGCTCAGTAAGTAACGCAGTTTCAAGCTTCAACACAGTAGCCTATTACCTGAAATGGACGGTGTTTCGTAGGGCTTATTTTCCTCAATGACCAAGTCGCTGCACATTATCCCATTTATGACACGACCATACTAAATAAATAGGAATTGACTCAATTAATTGAATGATTTATTGACTGAATAAGTCAATAAATCATCATGACGTAACTGTTTACGTCGTCGTTTTTCTCCCAATACCGCTGTCAAACAAACATCAATAGAGGATTGTGTCGGGTAGTTTTTAATTATACGAAGCAGATTCAATCAGAACTATTTCTTCAAACTATACTTTTCTAGAATGCCGTGATGTATCGGTCATCATGTGGTTCAGCGGCATTAACGCCGCTGCAGGCGTGTGCACCGGAGCTTATTCCTCGTTAACTCACACGCCAGCGGTTGCCGTTAAGCACTCACTGTCCGACTGTCATATAAACAGCCGATAATTATTTCCCATCTCTTAGCAATGTGGTTCAGTATGAGTTTACGCCGTCGGCATCACAACACCGTCATTAAAGTTATCTGGCATCCTACAGGTGACGTTGCTTGCAACCGAGCTAATCAATCATCTTGACTACTGTCAATATCATTGCGGCATTAAACCGTTTCCTACACAATAACAGAATCTCAATACTGGTTAGTGCTGCCGGACTCGTAATAAGCGTTTCAAGGTGCGGGTCGCGTTCTATTCAATCGTTCTGCGCTAACTGCTCGTCACAACTCTATTCGCTTTAGCGTAGGCTACTAGCATGACTGGTATTGCTCAGGGCAAATCTCGATGACAACGGTCAATGTTTCCCCCTGTCTACGCACGGAAATAATGTAATCTAATAGTGCGCAGGCCAAGGGCTGGCTCTTCAAAGTAGCTATTAACAACGCGCTTTAAAGTTCCCATCATCCGTTCGGCAGAACTCTTTCAGCCTCAAGCGGGAGTCAAGTAAGGAGAAACTACGCGTGCACCGGCTGTTCGGGTAAATAATAACCCACTGCTCAGGGAGATCCCCTCGTGCGTTGCCTTTACGCCATCTAGTGTTCAAATACAACACTACTAACCTATAACTCCGCTCAACTGGGAAAGAGAAGAAGAAGAGAGAAGAGGAGAATCCTCCAGGAGCACAGCGTTCCTAATCATGAGGAACTATAGGCCCAGTCACACACCTGGAGTGCCTAGGCATCACATCAAGCTCATGGTATTAACGTTCCTCTAATCAAACTGCGTGCATCCACATAACGTCTTCAACGACAGTTGCTCTTCCTCACCGGGGCAACCGTACTTCGCATGCGGATAATCTTCGGCACGCCATCATCTCCCGTTTCTGTGGGGACATCCTCACGACGACCGCGTTTTTCCCGACTCTTAAGGACGTGCACTGCACATCCTCCGTTTTGGGGGGAATATCTGCATGAGATCATCCGCCATAGCGGCACGCTCAGATTTCCTATCGCTTACACATTTATCATCACACTCGCTGGATCTAACGCGAGCGTCCCTCCATCATCCTCATTTCAGATGATAGAAGACGGTCTTAATCACTCAATCAGCTCATCAGCATCTATGACTCATCCCAGCGCACTTAACTGCTAATTAAGCTATACTATATCATGGGTCATGTCTCAGTATTTAACTAAGTGTACGTTTTTTTCTGCATGCATCCTGCACTTCATTCATATTCTCGGGTTCATGCTCACTTGGCTCGTGTTAAGCCAGGTTATGATATTCATGCATCACTGTACTCAAGCTAACAG